CCAGATTTAGACTTACTTTGCTTGTATTCTTTCGCTGTGGAACTCTTAAGATGAAGTATTTCATGCTTCAACTTTGGTTTCCAACATTAGAAACCAATTTAGACTTCAACTCTGAAATATTTGGTAAATAATAGCTCAGCTCAAGTGGAGAATATTTTCTTGTCGTAAGAATATTTAAAATGCTCGTGTTTGTCGTATAAGACCAAAGTTTTCCCGCCATAGGAATGCGCGCTTACCAGCCTTTTGTTCGCTGATTGGTTGTTTGGAAATGAGAACGGACGGTGATTGGCCGGTCGTAACAATGTAGACTTGGGAGTCTTTTCAAAAATATTTCCAGACTCAGTTGTGATTGGTGAAGTTTTGAAGAACATTGTTTATATTTTGCAAGCATCGATCTCAATACGAATAGTTAACCTACAATGATAAAAATAGAGTGAGTTTCGAGGAGTGAAAAGGGATCATGAAATTATCGTTTTCCCTCCCCAGTCGCAAACTTTTGAAATTATTCAACAGAATTATCCAATGGTGGTCTTTCACTAAAGTGCTCTGTTTACTAAAATTTTTTAACTCTGGTGTATTTTATACAGGTTTGATCAAGCAATGGTTGGATTTTTAGACTGTTTACAACAGGTACATGAAAGTAGTATTACAAATTTGAAATAACAACATTTTTCTCTGGGTACAGTAATCCAGCGATCAAACCCAGACCCTAACAAAAAAAAATTGTTTTGAAAACGTAACTTAATCTTTTGTTTAACTGTCGGAGAAATGATGTGCAGTGTTTCTTTCACATAGAGAAACGTAATATCCTTAGGATTTGTTTAATTAGAAAATCTCACAAACGGTCGTTATTGGGCGCCATTTTTACAAGCAATATCTTAACACGCTTAGTCGAAAACTGCTGTTATTTGCGTCCTTAGTTTAAAGAAGCTGTTGAAAAAGTGGACAAGAGGTTTTGCCTTCCATACAGGTGAGAGAGTGCACCAATAAAACAATTTTGAAAGCGTTTTTTGTCTCTCCTGATCTATATTTTGGTAAAAGATTTGATGTTTTTGGAAAGTTCTGAGTAATTTTTGCTCGTATGTACAGGTATAATTTATGGAAGGCTCTGTCAGCGATTTGATGAGTTAGTAGATCGCTTGGTTGTAAATTTTGAGGCTCAAACCTAGAGTCGGATTCAATTTTATTCGGATTTTGCGAGCGCAAATATCAGGTGTCACGCATTGTTTAACGCTCGCGATTGCGTGACTAATTGGTAGTATGCTTTCATTACGTCAAGCATACGTCACTAAATATTTATCTCCAACCGAACTAATTGGTAACGAACATTCGTGACGTAACTTTTGCGTCACTAATTTCTCATTGAATTAACCTAATGACCAACGGTTAACTAGTTAATTGGTTGTTATGTTTATGACGTGTACCCCCTGGTTAAGTCATTTGCTGCAAGTCCGCGAGCCGTTCAGACGTACTTTTTGCGCTCCGTGAAAAAATTCGCTAGGACAGTTCAAAGATGGCCAAAGCTAAAACCCGACGAGTTGTTAAGAAATCAGCCTTAGCCAAGAAGAAGAAGGCAGTCAAGAGGCCCCCTCTTACAAGCGCAAAGGTGTTGGCTGCCATCGCCGCCTTGAAAGACCGCAATGGTTCAAGTGCGAAAGCTATCATGGCCTACCTCCTCACGCAACGTGGTTCAAAGAGAGTTACACCTTTTCAAGTACGAATTGCGTTGGCGCGCGCTGTCAAAGAAAAATCACTGGTGAAGAATGGAGCTTTGTTTAAAGTTGTTCTTACTTCCAGCAAGTCACGGTCGCGTTCCAAATCTCGTTCGAAATCTCGTTCGAAGTCCCGCTCTAGATCTCGTTCTCGCTCAAGGTCAACCTCGAAGACTAGATCCCGATCTCGTTCTCGATCAAAGTCGAAGAGTCCGGGCAGAAAATCGGTGAAGAAAGTCACCAAGAAGGCTAAGAAGGCGAAAAAGGCTAAGAAAGTGATCCGAAAGCGCAAGGCCCCGGCCAAAAGGCGCGTCGCAAAGAGGAGATACTACAAAGGAACCAAAAAGACGACCAAGGTTCGCAGGAGGCGACGATCCGCCCGCAAGTGAACTTACTGATAGTATAACAAAACTGCGATGTCTTTTCGTCTCCCTTCTTAAAACACTCAAAGACTTTGTCTCTACAATCTCTCATGAGAGCAAACGCCTAAACGCTGAAGAACTGTTAGTAAGCGAAGTTGACAGGATCCTCGGTTTTATCATCATAATTTTTTTTTGTTTTAAAAGGATTGTACACACAAGAAAACTTTGATTAAACAGTGAAGGCGAAGACTTGTTGGTGTGTGATTTTCTATAAATATGGGGGAAGAAAAAGCGATGAGTTTACAAGTAGAAAAGTCGGCAACTAACTTTTCCCTAACGCAGAAGCGACAACAATCAGTTAATTTCCAAAATTTTTAATTAGGAGGCACTTATGTTATTATGCCTGGGTGGTGTACTTTTAGGTCGGCGCGCGCGTGGCCTTTTTTCGCGCGCACCTTGATTTTGTGCGCGTTTGGAGCTATCTGCCAAAACTTTGCTATAGACAGAATTTTTAAGAATTTTTTGTCGTGTCTTTGTTGTAAATTAAAAGCGCAAGGTTGCGCGCGCGATACTTAAGCGGCATTCAACGCTTAACAAATGCTGCCTGAGGCGTCTTCATTGACGGACTTTTTCCTAACTTTTCGTGGAAAATTTTTACGGAATCAAACGATTTGGATCGATTTCTATTTCCAAGAAGCTTAATTTTTGTGTGTTTCAGGCGACAGTTTTACTTTTTAAGTTTCTGGTAAATCAGTGTCAATACTGCACGTGCGATTAACAAGCGCGTGGCTTGCAATGTTGTCACAGTCTCTTTTACGATTGGCCAAAGATCGACGGCGAGGCTTTGGAGAGATGTAAAAAAAAATCAATCAATCAATAAAATCTGTAGTGGAAATGAATAAGTTCAAAGCCTGCACATATACGTGCTTTTACAAAGTCATACTATTTTACTGGTCTCATTCGTTTGTCTTGTTTTCCTAAAGCAAGATATAATCCAGTATCTTTCGTTTCAGGATGGAAAAAGGCAAAATCCATGATTCAAGTGGAAACGGCGGAGCTTTTTCCATAAAGTAAGTTGGCGGAATTTTTTTGAGGAAGGGCAAGGGACACAATGGAAAAAGTCAACCAATTTTGCTGTCTGAATGACTCAAAACTATTGGTTCGGAGCGGGTTTCGATTAAGTGTTAAGCAAAAACGGAAGTAATTACAGCAACCAATCAAAGAAGAGAATGCCATCACAAGGAGGCAATGAGAACTCAAACTGCCTAAAGCGCGGTAAAAGGCGAGTGACGGAGATGCGTTTGCTTGCATCTGATTGGTTGAGAGGATAGCGTGAGTTTTGTGGCTTACCACACGGCGAAGTAAAGCAAAACCAACGCTTTTCCAGATTACTTTCGACAATCAAAGGAAAATTTCTCAAAATCACTACCTGTCTGTATATGCTTAGCACTTCTCCACCGCAGAAGTTAACTGAGACAAGTGTCATTACGCCTCTGGTTTTTTTCTTTGTCTCATCAGAATTCAGTTCAACTCCGAGGAGCAGTGGACCAAGGCGCTAAAATTCGTGCTGACTAACTTGAAATGGGGACTGGCGTGGGTCTCGTCCCAGTTTACTGAAAAGTGACTCAGACTAGCGGTCAGTCTGGATAATGCACTTCTGCAAGAAGTTTATAATGTACGAACACAGAATCAGTTGACTTTGAATTATTGCTCTTGTAGTCTGAAGTTTGCTTTTGAAGAAAGTAATAGAAACAAGACTCTTTAAAGAAAGAAACTTAAGATTCTCAAGAGCACAGTGTAGATATTTTTGAAAGCATTTTACAAGGCTTGAGCGAACGATTCAAACTCTTGTAGTCATAATCTTAAAACATGAATTCTTCTTTCTTGTGACCACGATTCCTCTTTCTTCGACTTTCAGTTTTGAGCCTTCTTACTTATTTCACAAAGTATTGCTGTTGAAACCAAAAATTATATGTTGATTAACTAATGCTTGAAAAAGAGGAAAAAACACATTCACATAGACAACAAAAATCTTCCTCTTTTAATCCTTATGCGGAAAAACTAAAAGGAGAAGTAAAAAAATAAACGAGACAAACAAAATAAAAAGAAGGCATGTTTGTCGTATGTTATCTATGTAGCGGTTTCTTTTATCGACAAAAAAGGGAGTTTCTACAAAAAAGAATAAAAAACTATTGTTTTACATCTTGTTGTACGTGAATAAATTTGAAGTAACGCGCGTGTTTACATTTTCGTATCTTCTCTTTTTCGAGTGATATAAGATTGGCAGGATGGCTGACGATAAATCTTATCGTTATAATCTTTATAATCTTTGTTCATTTGCGTATACCAACTTGTGCAAATTATATCGAGTAATGCGGTACAATGTGAACCCTATCCTTTCACTGCAATCATGATTGATTTGTTTCCAAATTAAAATCTTGGACGATCATAAAACTGATCCAGAAAAAGGCGTGTTTTGATAGAATGACTGGAAAAGAAAAAAGTTGAAGATGATTATAAGGAAAAACCACTACTTTGATTGGTTGAGGCCCAGGCTTCTGGTGAGGAAATTCGTCATGAGGCGATAAAGATGGCGACGCGTATGAAATCCAACTATCCCGTGATCCTTATCAGTGTAATACTGCGGAAAGAAAACATGAAACGAAGTCATGGCGATTCACTGCAGAACACAACACGGAAAGAGGGAGAGCATTTCACCCTAGGGTCGGTAGCTAACTGAGGTGAACAAGCACCCCATCCAGGGTGGGGCTGAAACCTGATCAATGCTTCTTCTTAGCTACCGAACGTTAGAGAGGCAGATAAAGTCATTTACGAAATCGTCAGTTCCACAAAACCACAAGATCTGCTTCTTCTGATATGTACGCTTCTGTAGTGCCTCTAGTCTCGATCCCTTGTCACAGAAATCGGTGCATCCGCATTCCTGTGTCGAGAAGATCGTGGGCACAACGAAATGCTCGCGGCTGGGGACGACGACTTAGCGGGGGTACAACGGAGGGAACCGAAAGTGCGCCGCACTCTGTCTGTCTCCTCCGGCGCCTACGGAGTTAAGCACGGTTCTCACCTGAACTCTGAACTTGACCTCTGCTTCAGTAAGTGCTCTTACCATCTGTGCTGTGTGCTGGTAATGGACGTTGTCTACATATGAAACAAAAAAATACAAACAAACAAAAAATTAGCCAGAAGCAGAAAAATTCACATCGCAATTCACTTATTACCTAGATATCCATCTACAAAACACGGTGAGCCACACCAAAAAAATGAAATTTAAGATGCTATGGTGTAGAGGCTCTTAAACAGGTCATTGCGATTGACAAAGATGTTGTCCTTCAACACTCGTAACTAGTTGTATCTAATGGAAGGCTGACTTCAGTTCATTGGCCCTTACGGATTTTTAACTGAATTGCACAAATCAAAAGTATTATTGTTATCACATCCTTACCATCCGCAGCACCGTGGATTATGAGGTAGTCTACGTTGGAAAATTGAGCAGCCCTGGAGAGTAGCGATGTGTTCTAAGAAATATCAAGATTATCAATCGACGATTAGCTCTTGTTTTCTGCAAACATATGTTACTACTTTTAAACTATTCATAGCTTCCCTCTCTGCTTTTAGAAGACGATATAATAGCATAAATTTGCGCTTTGGTGAAGTTAAATTATACCTAATACGCAAATCATTTCTCAATTTGGTTTTCTCTGGAGAGTACTTTTAAATTCAACCCAGAGAGAAATGATCCAAGACTGTCATAAAACTTACTCTGTAGCCGGCTTCGTTATCCTTTGGGACACCCATGTAGCGCTCTGTGTAAGCTGAATCTATAAAATACACCACAGCAAATGTTTGAAGGAGAGTAACATTTCGTTTCCTTCGGTGACATAGCTTCGGTCACGCAAACGACGTTTCCTTACCATAGTATCTCCAGTCCGTGACAGGTGCCACAGCAATCCCACACTTAAATACACCAGAATTCTTGCTAAGGACGTAACTTGTCAAAAAGCCGCCAAAGGACTAAGGAAAAAGCAACCAGAAGATTAATCTGTAAAGGCTATCGGAGAGAACGACCTCAAACGTTTTCTTTGTTAATACGTAAAGGTTAATCGATCGTTGTACAGGAAATAGCTCGTAAATACCAACCCAGCCCCAGACAGACAGTTTTTTTGGATCGACGTACTTCTTCTCCTGCATGTACCTGTGTAAGGAAACAAAGTATAAGTTGGTTTTGTTTGTCAGCAACGAGATAGAAGTTGGCTTTGTTCAGCGTCTTACCGTCCAGCCGTGATGACATCTTGCGCTTCATATTCTCCCAGTAACTTGTAAACAGCTTGTTTGAAACTAGAACAGAGCAAACGCTTCTTTAGTAAATTGCTTACCGGCTGATCATGACGACAATAGTAAATTGTGAATGAAGATGAAGAAGGGAAGTTAATGAAAAGTTGTCGCTGATGTTGATAGAGTTGACGAAGGGGACGGGAAGGAAAAGAATGATTGGGAGAAGGAAAAAGAGAAGGAAAAGAATGATCTTTACCTTATCCTGACGATGAGGTTGACGATGATGATTGAAATATTAATGAAGAAAACGAGGAGGAAAATGAAGAGGAAGATGAATGACGAGGACAGCAATCAAGATGACGAGCTAGAGTTATAATGATGAAGACCACGAGGACGGCAACGACGATGACATCGAGGAAGATGAAGAGGAGAAGAATGAAGAATCAGACACACAAAAGAGAAGAGCACATGAAGGATACGAGGATGATGAAGTCAGGTGATAATGATATCAGTATTTCACTAACTTTCACTTACCTTTCGCCTCTATTTCCAGTCCCTCGCCCGTCCACCATTACCACAATAATATCAAAGTTACTGACCAAATAGGCAATCCAGCCAAGTTGTTTAAAAAACAGCTCGGTAACCTGAAACACGAAAAATAAATTCATACCAATTAATAAAGACTGTAATAGCGCAGAAACCTAACGCTACGCTTGGGAAGACTTCAGACTGAGCGGTCTGGGTTCAAGACCTCGCTCAGGCTACAGAGTGGTGTTATTGGATAAGACAATTCGTTTCTCGTTTCCACAGGCACGATTTATCCACAACTTCCCAGAAAAAAATGATTTCAAATAGTTGCTTGAAACAAACCCTTTGTGATCCAGGACCTCCATACCTAACAGAGAAAAAAATATTTGAGAGCTATTTACAAAACAGATTGAACCGAATTAGGTTAAAGCGCTCGAGAATTTCCACGCCTCATAAATAAGTGATGGAGTGATCCAAAGTTTAAAGACAAAATTTACTTACACCTCAAAATGAACAGCATATTTCTTATTTTCGTCAAAGTTTGGAGGGAGAAATTCAGTGGCTAATAAATCTGAAAAATAAAAATGAGGCAAAGCAAAGAAAATCATTATCAAAACATCCCTACACAAATAATGGCTGAAATATCAAATTAAACAGAAAAATTTCACCTGCACCTGAGGATCTATGCGAATGTGTACGACAAAATTTTTTTGGTCAGTCCTGTTCGACAGAAGTGCGTTCGTTTGACGAATCAATGTCAGTATCTAAGCAGCTGCGCACCTACCCCTCCCCTAACCCAACAACGGATGACAATTTAGGGTTGAGTTACGGGAGGGGTAGGTATGCAATTACTCAGATACAGAATCTTACCGTATTTTCCAGCGGGAATCTTAAAGTTTCTTCTTTTTGGTGTCGCAAGTTCAGACATTTTTTTTTCTAACGCCCTGTTCATCTCTAGATCTTTGTACCAAGTAGCTGAAAGAAAGCACATTTTATCAGACCAAATACAGAAGAAACGTTGCACATACTTAGGTAATGAAGGCAGTTCCTTAAGAAATCTTTCAATAGCTTTAATTGATGAACAAGAACTAAAGAATTTACTCACAGGAGTTGGTTTTGTGTAAAGTGACCCTTGGAACATTCGGTCCTGGGAATAAAAGAAAAGAAAAACGTACCTACATTATCATAAACCAGAATATTTCAGACAGTCTGTCAGACTCTGTCTCAAGTAAATCACCGAATTATTCTTGATTGTACTATTCATGGAGCAGATTTCTTTTCCAACATTTCTAAGTGAAAGTCAGCCATTTGTTGAGAGCCTACCGTAACAGGTTAGAATGTACCAGCTGGCTTCGAGACTAAAGCTCGCTGCAAAATATTTGCAGTCCCCATCTAAGAAAAGAAAAAACACATAGCCAGAAATAAGAGAAAGAGAAAATTGTTTGAGCTTGTCTTCAAGGGATTTCGACGATTTTGTAGCTCAAGCTTACACTTATTGCATACTGGATTTGTGACTATGCATGTGATACCGCTAAGACTGAGTTTTCTCAGTGTACCTTTAAGTTAGCAAAGAGATGCATTGACAGGAAAGTAAAGTATTGATTATTTTAAGGTAAAATCGACATTTCGTTTCTTTCCCATGAATTAAAAAAAACCCTGATGTACCCTTCTAAGCATTAAATTGGATGATTTACTTACTTTCGGCCCAAGGCAAAGAGCATGACAGACATTTCTTCTCTTTCCTTTTTACATTCACACTGTTAAGTGACGGATAAGAAAAACAAATGTTAGTCATTCTCTTTCCTGTCGTCATCCACGCCGATATCCTGCGATATTTGATCAATTCATGGTGCGACCTTCACTGAATACAACAAGAACAGTGTTTACGATTAGACAGACGCAAAACCTGCGCAAAAACTTGGATACGATGACTACGATGAGACCTGGGGCGAGCTCTGTCACGTAATGGGTTCAAAGGCGTTTATATGCTGACTTCTAGGGTCGATTTTGCTGGTCGAGAGCGTTTTGTTGAGTGACGGAGAAAGACAGATGGACAATTTCAGTTCAGCCGTGAAATCAGTATTGGTTGTTTGTTCAATTACACGA